CCTGTGAGTGACTCTACGACACAGGAAGCTGAACACAGACACAAAGAACCATAAATGACAACAAAACACAGCAAAGTGGCTCCATTGTTTTTGTTACAGACACGTTCCTTCCTGTAAGGCCTTTGTGACTGAGGCCTTACTCGCCTGCGTGGACTCTTTACTCGTCTAATTCTTTGACCCAGTTTGTGTTGATGAGCAGAAATATTGCTGAAAATGTGACAGCTGATGATCAGATCTGTTTTCTTTTTCAGGATGAAGACGACTCCAGGACTGTGATGAATTTTTCCGACGAGGCCTTTGGCTCTCTGAACAGCGCCCCCTATAGTCACAGCAGTGAAGTCATCGGGTACATCAGGTGAGTTCTGATAGCAGAGAAGTCATAATAATCAGATCTCACTGTGTTGGTGGTACAACATCATATTAACTTAACTCCACTTACTGTGAAGTCGTAGCTTAAACCATGCATACAACTCTAGAAAGTCTCCTCTCCTTCCATTCACAGTAGAAATTACAACCAACTTTAACAGCATGAGAGGAAATGTGGCAAATTAACAGAATAAAGGATAATGGAAAAAAAAGCACCAGAGCAATAGGAGGGAGTAAAGAAATAAAAGAATACAAGTAAAAAGTACGGCAGTGGCCTCTGACTGTACAGAACAAAATACAAAGAGCTAAATTACACAAGCCTCGTTTAAAAGGTGCAAGTGTTACGTGTATTACTTTATAAACACGTACTTTCCACAGCAGTATCTCACTCAGGATATTGGAGCAGACAGATGATGTTGCAGCTTACACGCAGAAAATGTCCACTCTGTGCTGCACATGCAGGTCCTTTACATCATCTTGTTAAAATACTTTTTACCACTGCAATACACCAACGTGTTTCAACAAGTTATGTGCATATTTACAGATTTCTTACCAACAGTGTAATCAGATTACTTTTTTCAAGTAAAGTAAGGGATTACTATTGCAAAAAAGATAATTAGATTACTGTTACTTTCTCGTAAGCACGCTGCGTTACTCCGTTACTAAACCGTGATTTTGTTTGCGAGAGTGTCTCATCACAATCACGTACGCGAGTGGCAACAGCTGTGTGCAGATCAACAGTGGATCATATATCGAGTGCGGAGAGAGTATGAGCGTGCAGCGTTTAAAGCGTGGAAGTACTGACCTTACTTTGACTTTGATTCCATAAGAAGTGACAAAAACATTAGTGTCCACTGTTCACTGCGTGGGAAGAAAACTTCTTTTTAGAGCGAAAAAACCCCCAAACGTCCGAGCAAGCACCGAGTGCGCTACCACAGGAATGTGAAACTCACAGAGAAACCCCGGAGTCCCAGACAGTGACATGACCGCTGCGTCACACCTGCACCAGGACAAACCTCCACCCACCCCACTCCTGCTAAACAGGCGACAGTAGATTTAAGAGCAACAGGACTCACTGAGTCTTTGATTTTATTCATTTTCTGCTGTTTTACTTGCATCTATTTGAAAGAGTGAGTTTAAACACAAACAACTATTTTATTTTATGTGCAGGAATGTGCAGAAAATAGGTTTAAATGTTCTTCAAGTCAAAGACTGTTGTATATAATTTAATTTTTGATTAATGCAACGTAAATGAAATTAAACGATTAAAACAATTTTTAAAAGAGACTTTTTTTTAATTGATGACATTTTATATGATGGATTATGTATAAAAAATAGAATTGGGCTAAAGGTCTATTGCTTCATTAGGTATTCAGGTTGTATCATGTTTTTTTAAAGTAACTAATTACCTTTGAACATAAGTACTCAGTAAAGTAATGGGATTACTTTTTTGAAGAAGTAATCAGTAATTAATTGCTAATTACTTTTTTCAAGTAACTTGACCAACACTGCTTAAAAAACAATCACCTCTTCGTGACAGTCTCATCGAAGCAAAAAGAAAAACAGGAAGAGCCAAAATGCTTTTAAGGGGAAAACTGCAGTTAACTGTTAAACACTGCCCCCTGCTGACCACATTGTGCAACTACACAAACCAATAAAATGAACGTCTTCAAGTGCACACAACATGCAGATAACAAAAGAAAATGCACGGACAATACAATTAAATGACTCAATAACATCGTCTTAACATACATCCAAACAAACTAACTTTTTAAAAACTCTCTTCACACTTTAAATGGATGCTTGCTTTACTAAAGTGGGAAACATTATTAGCAATATTCACTCGCTTACACAAACAAAAAGCAGAAAATCTCAAAGAACAGTTTAAAGATAAAAGATGTTTCATAAAACTTTGATCTCATGAAAGTTTAAACTTGTCTGACCTTGAAAAAGAGGTCAAAGGTCAAAACTAATGTGATATTGAGAATCCCCTAATATCATTCACTATATGACTGCATGTTAATGCAACCAATGACATTAAGGAACCTTATTTTTAAACAGCATTCCTGTCATTCTGACGTTCAGATTAATATACCAATCCTGACCTTGAAGGAGAGGTCAGAGGTCAGACGTGACATGATATTTTAAATCTTCATGTAGCTTTTGTTTTGCTCCTTTACAGCTTTATTTTAAAAGCTACAGTGAAAAGTGACAGTAAAGCACAGGAGAGAGAGGAGACATGCGGCAATTTGAACCAACCCCGCCCTCAGCCGTGCGGCATGTGGTCGCATGCTCAGCTAAACCAGCGACCTTCATATAGAGCATTATGCTGACATTACATACCACACTTTGAAGCATCATGGTTTCTCATTTATAAGAAGTTTTGTCAATTTTCAACCGATAAATCATTAAGTTGGCTTTGAAGACGTCGGTGGAAGTTTCAATGGATTTTCAACATGACCCCACTGTACAAACTTTTATCTGAATTCATTGAAAACTTTGTGAGCTCTCGTGCTCACAGACAGAATGACATGCACATATGCAAACACTACCAAAAACCTTACCTAAACTTCAGAGTTTGTGGCACAGGCACGGAAAAAGGGAACTTTTCAGTGTGCATCGTCATTACACACGTCGCAGCTTTGCACGGGGTGGATTAGCAGAACTCAGTTTACAAAGTTAAGTTTCCTTCATTTTATTGTGAAACGAGTCACTCCACCGTTTAAAAGTAATATTTAACAGGACAAAGTTGTATTAAAAGAAATTCAGATTCTTTTCCCGTGGTGCACATTAGTGGACAGTAAAGCTGCATTAATGAGAGCAACCACAGCAACCCCGAGACACTAAACTTCATATTTACCAAAGAAACCTGAAAATCTAAAATTGAATGTCTTCAAAGTCTCAGCAGTTCATGGTCAGTGGAGATGTTTCCTCTTTGTTATTGTGAGAATAAAATAATTCTCCATGTAACAACAGCACAGATATTAACTGTTCCCTCAGTGCTGTGGAGCAATAAGTTTGTCAAGCTTGGTCAGTGTTGACGTTCAGCTTCCTTTTCTGCCACGAGCTGACCTCAGACTCAGTGAGATCGCATCAACAGGAAGTCGAGCTGTTGCAGCTGTTATAGACAAAAAACAGCCTCAATGCAACTTTTTGAAATGGACCAGAATGATCCTCTATCCTGGGTCTTTGTGCTGGATGTCATGTTAGTTATGATGTAATATTGAAGTCTCATTATTATGTCCAGTCAAAATGAAACTAAGTTAATTAAATAAGGAATTATCTAATAAAAATATGAACACAAGATTCCAAAGATCTCATGGAAAAACTTACATCTTTAATGAAGGTCGGACAGACTTACAACCTCAGAGTCAGCAGGTACTGAAATGCTGTGAAGTCTCAAGAACAATATGCACAATAACAATGACACTTATGATCATTTAAGAGTTTTAATATTAGAAGAAGACTAAATGAATTTTAGCTGAGGTGGAAGAATCAGCTGGACACATCATCACATTTTAAATTAGTGATGTGAATTCTGGTTTCAGGGATAAATGTAAAGAGGTGCATGAATGAGCAGGAAGCCCTGCAGCAGACTCACAGACGGATGCAGAGGAGAGGAGTGTAGAGGTGCTGTGGTGTTTGGAGGAGGGACTCCTTCAGTTAGAGAAGTGAGGCGTCACAAGTTCCTGGTTTCCAGTGAAGAAGAAGAGAGGCAGCAGTGAACCATCAGAGCCTCATCATGAAAGTCCGTCACACTCTGATCTGCTTCTTCTTCCTTTGTGAGTACATTCACTTGTTCTTTCTGTCACTCTCCTTCTTCAACATGTTTCTGTTGTTAAACATGATGATCAGAGTCAGCTATGAGTCACTTTCATGGACGCTTCTTCCATTCAAACTGCTTTTATTCATGATTTCATGGATATGTTTGTGGCCAGTATGGACAGAAGAAACCATCACAGTGAGACATTCATGGACATGTTACTGCTCACTTCAGGACTTGATAACATGTGAAACCATCGTTTCAAACACAGCTCATTACAAGTGTTTGTTACTTCCTCAGAATAAACTGGACAGTCAGTAAAATAAAGGGAACAAACTCAGCCTGCTGCCTTCAGAGTTTATCGACTTGGCTGAACTTTAATCTGACTAAACTAAGACAATCTGCCTGCAAACATTTTGTTCCTGATAACTCAGGTGAAACAGAATAAACTGCCTCACATCCTGCAGCCAAATATAAACTGTGAGTCATCGCCTAAAACCAAAGTGTGAATAACTCAGTGATGTTAAACTTTTAGTTTCCTCTTGATCACAAACAGTTTAGTGTCAGAGCTCTAACAGGACTGAATGTGGATCTTTGTTCTGATCAATGAGGAGAGAAAAGTGAAACAGAAGATGATGTTTAAACTCTGACCTCTCAGTGTTTCACATTCAGACTCTAGTCTCAGTGTGTCTGTGTGTGGATGCTGTGATCAGACTGCAGCTTCTTACAGGAAGTACAAACAGTAACTGTTGATGGTTCATGTTTCCAACAGCTCTGCAGGAGGGAAACCCTGAAGTCAACAACAACAAAAACATTTCATTTGGAGTCGTTGGAGGAAATCTTACAGCTGAATTCTCCTTTCATGCTGGAACATGGAAAATATTCTGCAGAGGAGAATGTGAAGGAGAAAACATTCTTATTAATACAACAGATGAGAAGCATCAACGTCAAAGATACAGCACTGAATATATAATTGTAGAATATTTTCCTGCTTTGTCTGTGAACATCACACAGCTGATCATGTCTGATGCTGGACAGTACAGCTGTGCTGTGGCTGAATCTCCATCATCAGTTTCATACCAACAGTTTGAAGTTGTTGTTGCTGAAGGTGAGTTTCAGTCTAAACTGTGGAAATGTTGATTTCTCTGCTTTGTCTCTGAAAGTCTGAAGAAAAGTTTTGTGAAACTGAGTTTTTTACTTAAACTTTTTATCAGTTTTCACAGGCAGTGACTCTCTGAACAAAACTCCTCTTTACTAAACTGTTTCTTTAACTCTAGTCATGTATATAAACTATAGAAAAGAACATTCGTGCCATAATCTCCATCATGTCAGGATGATGTGAGTGAATCGTGCTGCACAGAACAGAGCAGACAGACACATTTATTTCATCAGACGCTGTGGTGGAGGGTTGTGGGCAGGAGACACTAACAGCTCTATATGAGATCGGCTAATATGATATCTGAGGTCTCGTCTAAGTGATCAGCTGATCTGCTTTCTGTGGTTGAGCTGGATGTCAGGAGCATGAACTAAACTGTGTTCAGTTTCTGAGTCTGAAAATGGAAATCAAAGGTTTGTGTGTAAATTAGAATTTATCTGTTTGATCCATGTTTGTATTGCACAGGATTCACTGAGGCGTTCTTAACCTCACACTATTCTCATGTTGCTGGATTAAATTTGAGGCTCTGCTCTGTTGGCACAGTGAGTCCTGGTTCATGTTCCAGTGATGATGTTGGGTTTCTGATTCCTCTGATCACCTGCACAGGAACTGAAGCATTCAGGGTTAAAGCCTGAGTTTCCTAAACCACAGTCCTGTGTGGACTCACTGAACCTGACATCAGCATGAAGCTTTTCACCAGCTCGCTAAGTTAACCCCTTCGTTGCCAGTGTGTTCACATGAAAGAGGCGGGAGCAACATCTGACCAATCAGAAACATGGAGACATCAGAGCAGCTGATTTTAAGAAGGAAGATAAAACTATAAAGAGGTTAAACACACACAGTAATACAGACTAAAGTAAACTGTGTTAAAGGCCTGAATGAACGCTGCCATCAGTAAGACTGTGAACGAGCTACTGGATTAATAAAGTTTAGGTTTTTGAAGTGATCAGTGTCTCAGCTCATTAAAACACAGAGAATCTGATGGATCATAATCAGCATTTCATTAAATTCATGTTTAAAAGAAAGGTTTAGTTTTTACTCTTTCAAATGCACCTCTTGTTAGAGTTGTGTGCAAATCTGATGTGAGGTCATCGAACAGCTGCTTGTTTTAGGATCAGATACTTTGATTATGAAACAATAAAACTGCAGTAGAAAAAAGAATCAGGGAATAAATTTGTATTTAATAATTAATATTCCTTCAGGCATCAACAGGGAGAAGCAAAGACATTAAACACCACCATCTGCTCTCAGAGGTCTCGGTTCCAGAGATCTGATTGGACAGTAGGTTGTGGTTTCCTGGTGATCTGTGATCTGGAACATAACCTGCTCTGGAGCAGATTAGCTTAGCATATATATTAGCACAGTGATGTAAACAGGTAATAAGTGAACCAGCTTCATATTAAAAAACACGATTAACCCTGAAGTTACGTGGACAAGATTAAATCCTGCTTTGTACAGTAAACACAGTAAAACCTCCAGAGTGACACTAGCAGAGTGTCTGCGTGTGTCACTGTTTTATGATGATGTTGTGATGATGGCACGAGGAGGTCGGGCTGAAGCTGAACAATTCACTTCAAATCACTGTTGAACTCACTGTTCCAGCCACAGACTGGTTGAACTGGGCAGCTCCCAGTGTAACTGTGGGTCAAACTGGAGTTATTGTGATCAGACTGCATCATCTTCAACACAGATAGTAACTACTGATCGTTTGTCTCTTTAACAGCACTGCTGGATGGAAACGATGATCAGCTGAAACACTTTGATAAAGAAACTGGAAGCTCTCTCACAGTCGGATGTTCCTTTAATCCGGCTGGAGGACATAAGTACCTCTGCAGAGGAGAATGTGGAGAGCATGAGGTTCTTCTTCAAACAGATGGTGAAGATGATTTCAAAGACAGATACAGAATTGGATTTAGAGGAACGTCAGAGGAGAAATATAAAGGATCAGGAATTCTGTATGTGACGATCACACAGCTGACTGAGTCTGACTCAGGACGGTACAGATGTTCTCTGAATCCAGCTGTTGGTCAAGGTTCATTCAGAGACTTTGAGATCAACGTCACAGATGGTGAGTTTTTAGTGACATGACTCCATTTTTTACGTCTTTGTGGACTCGAAGATTTCTATTTCTTACTGACAGCAATGATGTTTTGTCTAAAGGCCGTGTTATATTTAGCTACTGATAGTTATTTTGATATTGATCACTGAAAAAAAGAAAAAGAAAATACAGTTTTGAAACAGAAGGATGGTTTTCTTCAAAGTTTTCCAAAATATTCTAATTCCACTCAGACATGTCTTACTTTGCCACAGTGGATTATGGATTATTTTACACCTTGTGTATGAAAATGAGCAAAGTTTTAAACAATAACATTTCACAACCACATCTAATACAAACTTCACTCTCTGACCTTCTTCAGCAGTCGTCCAGTCAGCCTCAGCTTCTTCATTTACCACCGAGCAGTCTGAGAAAACATCTGCAGGTACATCTGCCTACTGGTTCAAGAGATGGAACTTTTGAATAATCAGAGTTCATATTTTATGTCCTGAGCACAGTTATGAGTTTGTTGTACAAATGTCACCATCCAGTTAAACATGCACATGATGTTCTCCATCACAAACACAAGAAAAAGCAGATTACAACATAAATGTTGTCACAAAATATTTTACAAAAATATCTTACATGATCTACTCTAAAGACTTAGTAACTCAAACTACAGCTGGTGTAACGACCAGAAAGAGTGAACAGTATTTATTCTGGTAGTCAAATATTTACATATGATGAACTCACTCCATTAACTTTCTATGAACTGTTGTTGCTGCAGAACCTTTTTTCTGCTCTTTTTTCTGGTTATTCATGAAATTCTAGGCTTTTCCTTTGATGGTCATCAGTGGAACAACTTCCCCTCTTTCAACCTTCAGTAAACACGAGTTGGAACTCATGTTTCCACATGCAGAGAAATGCTGGATGCTCGTTGCAGACACTCGTCTGTTAGTTTAGGATAATTCAGTGATTCACAAAGCAAACAGGGAGCCAATCATCAATCAGCAAATCAGACTGAAACATCGTTTTTCTGCTGTCACAGGTGTGCTGCTGCATGTGATCATCACTCCATTCATCATCGTCGTCGTCGTCCTCTCATCACTGGCTGTTCTAATAATCTGCATTAAGAGGAAGAGCGACAGAGGTAAGACAACAAAGACACAGCAACAACAGAACTTTCCATTTATGATCAAACACTGAAACTAATTTTACGTCACTTGTCAAAGCTGCAGGGAAACATAAAAATATTTTTCCTGACTTGTTCTTTGTGACTCGTCTGCACGCTTTGGTTTGAGGACAGTGGAGAGACTGATGGACGTTCGGCTGCACTGAGGGCGATTTCAGGAGGACTGAGTCCTTCTCTGTTTCAGTTCTGACTGCTCAGTACTCTGATTGGCTTAGTGAGAGGTGGAGCATTCAGGAGGAAGGACACGATTCACTGCTTCGTTAAATTATTGATTTAAATGCAAAGAAATATTAAGGGACCGCCCTTCATTTACTGGTGCAAAATGCTGTGGTATGCTTTTATCTGGTAAAAGTTAAGCTGGATATTACTCTGGTTCTGGCCTCCTTACACTGGCTTCCAGTTGAATTTAGGATCTAATTTTAAATCCCTTTACTGGTTTTTAAATCCTTAAATGGTCTGGTGCCTGTATATTTGTCAGATCTGCTCGTTCTCTCCTCGTTCGCTCCAGTCAGCTGCTCAGCTGTTGCTCTCAGAGGAGACCGAGCGTTCTCCATCGTGGCCCCGAAGCTTTGAACTGTACTCTGCTACTATGCCGTGTGCTTCAGTGTTGGTCTTTAAATCCAGGCTAAAAACTCATTTTTATTAACAGGCTTTTGACTCAGTGCGTAACTGACTCTGTTATTTTTTTATATTTATTGTTACGGTAACTGGAGGGACTCAAACGCAGGACTCCTCTGCTCAAAGGAAGAACAGAGGCTTGATTCACCAACACCAGGTGAAATGTGCGACAGTGACAAAGTGCTATACAAGAGTGCGGGGATCAGGGCTCCAGGAAGTCCACAGGGAAAAGCAGGGGAACACTCTCACTCCTCGCTCACACCAGAATCTCTGTAAGGACCAAGGACAGGCCCCGAGTGTCCGTACACAGGGGAATGACGTTAACACAAGAAGCAAAAACCAAGGCAACTAGATTAGTAGTTTCCTCACCAGGATTTCACTGGCACAAGTCAAGCAACAGTACAGCCAAGAGCAGTAATATGAGTCAACGGCGGGAGCCCAGGATGAACTCCGCCCAGGTGACAGAGGAAGAGAGAGAAAAAACGAGAGCAGAATATTTCTCAGGCAGATCTGCTGAACTGATGTACAGCACTTTGGTCGAGCATGTGATGATTTTACAGTGCTATATAAATGAATTATGCTATTGTCCAATGATGTTAATAAACATGTTAGTAAGGCAAGTTTATTTGTAGAGCACAATTCAACAACAAGGTGACTCAAAGTGCTTTACAGAGACATTAAAAAACAAAAACAATAAAAAGCATGATTTAAAATTGATTAAAAAGTAGATAAAATCAGAACAGTAGATAAAATCAGTAGTTAAAATATAAGTTTTGAAATTTAAGCTTAAAAGTGTGGATTTGGTGCTTTATTCAAATGCAGCTGAGAACAGGTGAGTCTTCAACCTGGATTTAAATAAACTGAGTGTTTCAGCTGATCTGAGGCTTTCTGGGAGTTTGTTCCAGATATAAGGAGCATAAAAGATGAATGCAGCTTCACCGTGTCTGGTTCTGACTCTGGGAACTGATAAAAGACCGGATCCAGATGACCTGAGGGATCTGGAAGGTTCATACTGGGTCAGGAGGTCACTGATGTATTTTGGTCCTAAACCATTCAGAGCTTTATAGGCCAGCATCAGAACTTTAAAGTCTATCCTCTGACGGACAGGCAGCCAGTGTAAGGACCTCAGAGCTGGACTGATGTGGTCCACTTTTTTGGTCTTAGTGAGGACTCGAGCAGCAGAGTTCTGAATGAGCTGTAGTTGTCTGACTGATTTTTTAGGTAGACCTGTAAAGATGCTGTTACAGTAATCAAGCCTACTAAAGATGAATGCATGGACTAGTTTTTCCAGGTCCTGTTGAGACATCAGATCTTTTATCCTTGAAATATTCTTGAGGTGATAGTAAGCTGACTTTGTTATTGTCTTAATGTGTTTTTCTAAGTTTAGGTCTGCATCCATCACTACACCCAAATGTCTCGCCTGGTTGGTGGTTTTTAGATGTATAGATTGAAGTTCTCTGGTGACCTGTAATCGTTTTTCTTTGGCGCCAAAGACTATTACTTCAGTTTAGTTTTTGTTTAGCTGGAGAAAATTGTGGCACAGCCAGTCATTAATTTCCTCACTGCATTTACCAAGAGCCTGTACAGGGCCTTGGTCTCCTGGTGACATTGTGATATATATCTGTGTGTCATCTGCATAGCTGTGATAGTTTATTTTGTTGTTCTTTATAATCTGTGCCAGTGGGAGCATGTAGATGTTAAACAGAAGGGGTCCCAAGATGGAACCTTGGGGAACTCCACATGTGATACTTGTCTGCTCAGATGTGAAGTTACCTGTTGATACAAAGTATTTCCTGTTTTCTAAGTATGTCTTGAAGTAAGCACAAAAAATACAAAAATGAAAAATCCCTTTAAGAATGCATCAGGTATTCGTCTTTTCCTGTAGAAGAGGAGACTGTGCACAGTTTTCATGAGTTTAAAATAAGATATTGACTCAGGTCTTAGTAAAGCAGAGATGTGAAGAAGTGGATCAAAAGTATCAGTACATATCTGGGAAACTTCAAGGTCAAAGAAACATCAGGAGAAAACAGGAAGACAAACAGGATCTGACGTTCAGGCTCATTGAACAAAACACAGGCGTTCACCACAGACGACTAAATGAGCCTCCGATTGAAACAGTGACCTGGTTATATCTGCTTGTACAGTATCTATGAGCTGACTGCTCACTGTGACCTCAGTAAACTCTTTCCTGCTGCAGCCAACATGCTGAACTGAGCCTTTTAAAACAGGAGTGCACAAAGCAACAGCTGACATTACAGCAGATTATTCCATCTTTAACATACAGTCTATGCTTTTTACTACTGAGCTGATAGAGTGAACAATAAATAAATTGATAGATTTATAAAAATCCAGATGGCAGACTGCTCATAACCAAAAAAATAATAATTATGAATGATCTCTCGTATTTCTTTGTCACGTGCACTGAATGATTGTTCCCTCTAACAGAGGAACATCCTTTGTTTGTTCCACAGGTTTGAGGACCAGAGGAAACTCAGAGGGCACAAACATGGAGGTGACTTTCTTTCTCTTTGGTTCCTCTCACTGTTGACAGACTGCTACTGTAACAAAGAAATAAAGCAGTCACAGTGTGATGGTTCAGTTTGTAGACTGTTCCAGAAATTACAGTCCAAGAAGGTGAATTCAAACAGGTAGGTGACAAAAATGGCCGCCCAGACGGAGACTCCAACAACAAACAGAGACACTGTTGTCTGAGAGGTTCAACGAGGCAACGTGGAAATATTTACCAGCACAAATGATTTAACCAAGTCAGAGTCTCTTCTTTTTATGTGAAGAAGACAGTTTGTCTCTGTTTCAGGACGTCCACTACGAGAACTGTACTCCAGGTTCTACACGTGAAGACTCGATCTACCAGAGCCTCGATCCAGCCGGCAGGGACCAGGACCAGACCTACTCTACACTCACACACCACACATGAGACTCTCTGGATTCACACCTGGGTTTGTTTCAGTGCATCAAAGACACAGTTTGTACACAGACTGGATGAATCTGCTGTGAATTCATCCTCAGTCTGTACAGTTTCCTGTCTGTGGTGCTGACTGTGTCTCTTGGAATTTGGATGCTTATCCTTTTTCATTTAGTTTAGGAAGTTATGATGTTTTATTTTTGTTTTGATTCGTGTACTGTCTTATTTTCTTTGTTATGTTAGCCTTCACTGACCCTAAAGAGAAATTCAGCTCCATGAACTTTATCACTTTTAAAATGAATAAATTTGAAATCATATTCAGTAAAAATGACACACGTGTTCTTTCAATACAAGCAAAACCAGCACTTATGACATGTGTCACAGTCAGCAGTTGCAGACTGTGTGGAGTGGAGAATAGAGGACCCAAATGCACACAAAACAGCGTGGAGACATATTAATATTAACTGAAAGTGTTTATTATAGCGGATGGATTAATACAAACCAATGCATGAGGGGAAATGAGACAAGAATAAACAATAAGATTAGAAAATCCATCAAAGTAACCATCACAGTGAGGTCTCCTTTCAGGGGGAAAGAATAAAGTCTTTAACAGAATGAAGCCAGGCAGCAATAGGAAGATGATTCTCTTTATTGCCTCATTCAGAGTGTATAACAGTGGGCGTGGTTCTGGAACAAACATCAGGTACATCAACCGTGGAACATAATGCGAACACTGACGAGGATAAACAGATAAACAGATAAACCCTCAGCCCATCCATCCATCTTCATCTGCTTTGTCCGGGGCCGGGTCGCGGGGGCAGCAGCCTAAGCAAAGAGGCCCAGACCTCCCTCTCCCCAGCCACCTCCTCCAGCTTATCCGGGGGAATACCAAGGCGTTCCCAGGCCAGCCGAGAGATATAATCTCTCCAGCGTGTCCTGGGTCTGCCCCGGGGCCTCCTCCCGGTGGGACATGCCTGGAACACGTCACCCAGGAGGCGCCCAGGGGGCATCCTTGTCAGATGCCCGAACCACCTCAGCTGGCTCCTTTCGATGTGGAGCAGCAGCTGCTCTACTCTGAGCCCCTCCCGGATGGCCGAACTTCTCACCCTATCTCTAAGGGAGAGGCCAGCCACCCTTCGGAGGAAGCCCATTTCTGCCGCTTGTATCCGCGATCTCGTTCTTTCGGTCACTACCCACAGCTCGTGGCCATAGGTGAGGGTAGGGACGTAGATCGACCGGTAAATTGAGAGCTTCGCTTTTACACTCAGCTCCCTTTTCACCACGACGGACCGGTGCAGCGTCCGCATTACTGCAGCTGCAGCCCCAATCCGTCTGTCGATCTCCGGCTCCCTTCTTCCATCACTCGCGAACAAGACCCCGAGATACTTGAACTCCTCCACTTGGGGCAGGAACTCATCCCCGACCCGGAGTGGGCACTCCACCCTTTTTCCGGCTGAGAACCATGGCCTCAGATTTGGAGGTGTTGATCCTCATTCCCGCTGCTTCACACTCGGCTGCGAACCATTCCAGTGCAAGCTGGAGGCCCTCACCCGATGAAGCCAACAGAACCACATCATCCGCAAAAATCAGAGATGAGATTCTGAGGCCACCAAAGCGAAAGCCCTCGGCCACTTGGCTGCGCCTAGAAATCCTGTCCATAAAAATTATGAACAGAACCGGAGACAAAGGGCAGCCCTGGCGGAGCCCATCACCCACCGGGAACGAGTCCGACTTATTGCCGGCAATGCGAACCAAGCTCTTGCAACGGTTGTATAGGGATCGAATGGCCCGTAGCAATGGGCCAGACACCCCATACTCCCGCAACACCTCCCACAGGACACCCCGAGGGACACGGTCGAATGCCTTCTCCAAGTCCACAAAACACATGTAGACTGGTTGGGCCCAGGACGAATTGGCGGGTCATTCTCCTCATCCCCAGACTCTGCTTCCTCCTCGGAAGACGTGTCAGTGGGATTAAGGAGGTCCTCGAAGTATTCCTTCCACCGCCTGACAATTTTCTCAGTCGACGTCAGCAGCGCTCCGCCAGCACTATACACAGTGCAGGTAGAGCACCGCTTTCTCCTCCTGAGACGTCTGACGGTTTGCTAGAATCTCTTCGAGGCAGTCCGAAAGTCTTTTTCCATGGCCTCTCCGAACTCCTCCCACACCCGAGTTTTTGCTTCAGCCACTGCCCGAGCTGCATTCCGCTTGGCCTGTCGATACCTGTCGGCTGCCTCCAGAGTCCCACAGGCTAACCAAGCCCGATAGGACTCCTTCTTCAGCCTGGTGGCTCCCTTCACCTCTGGTGTCCACCATTTGGTTCGGGGATTACCACCACGGCAGGCACCAACCACCTTGCGGCCGCAGCTCAATGCAGCAGCTTCGGCAATGGAGACGCTGAACATGGTCTATTCGGACTCAATGTCCCCAGTCTCCCTCGGAATGCTGTTGAAGCTCTGCCGGAGGTGTGCGTTGAAGATCTCGCGGACTGGGGCCTCTGCTAGACGTTCCCAGCACACCCTCACTACGCGTTTAGGTGCACCAGGTCTGTCCAGCGTCCTCCCCCGCCACCTGATCCAACTCACCACCAGGTGGTGATCAGTTGACAGCTCCGCCCCTCTCTTTACCCGAGTGTCCAGAACATATGGTCGCAGGTCTGCTGATACGATTACAAAATCGATCATCGACCTACGGCCTAGAGCGTCCTGGTGCCACGTGCACTTATGGACACTCTTATGTTCGAACAGGGTGTTCGTTATGGCCAAACTGTGATTAGCACAGAAGTCCAACAACAAAGCACCGCTCGGGTTCAGATCAGGGAGGCCGTTCCTCCCAATCATGCCCCTCCAGGTCTCGCTGTCGTTACCCACGTGAGCATTGAAGTCTCCCAGCAGGACAACAGAGTCTCCAGGTGAAGCACCTTCCAGCACCCCCCCCCCCCCAGGGACTCTAAGAAGGCTGGGTACTCTGAACTGCCACTCGGCGCATAAGCGCAGATGACAGTCAGGGCCCGTTCCCCGACCCTAAGGCGCAGGGAACAAACCCTCTCGTCCACCGGGAAAAACCCCAACGTACCGGCAGCAAGCCGAGGGGATATTAGAATACCCACCCCAGCCCGCCGCCTCTCACCAGGGGCAACTCCAGACTGAGACAGAGTCCAGCCCCTCTCCAGGAGACTGGTTCCAGAGCCCAAGCCATGCGTAGAGGTGAGCCCGACTATATCTAGTCCAGGGGTGCTCAATACGTCGATCGCAATTGACCAGTCGATCGCAAAGGTAGTATTGGTAGATCGCATGGCATTAAAAAAATAGATGCCAGCCTATCATCCATCCCGTCACTTGATTGATACAGGGAAGCCAGTCAGATGACATCAGATTTTTTCTGATGCTTAGGTCGCTGCGCATGCGCAAACAGCGGCGCGAAGTGTAGTAAAACTGACAAGCTAGTCAGCGAGTTAACTCCAATTTTTAGCTCTCGGTTTTTTCTCTTAAACCTGGCCGTCAGCAGCTACTGTCCGGACTATGCATCCCTGGCTGATTCAATTCAGTGCAAGTCATCAGAGTAAACTCAGGTAATGACAAAAAATTTACATAGTTAATTGTGTTGTGAAATATTGGATATTGCGGTTATGCATGTATATACATTGTAGATATAAAGAATCCTCAATATATTTATAAATAAGTATATGTTTTGGATTTTTGTAGTGGGTAGATCATTTTGACTTGGTCATTTTATAAGTAGCTCACATGCGGAAAAAGTGTGAGCACCCCTGATCTAGTCGGTACCTCTCAACCTCACGCACTAACTCAGGCTCCTTCCCCACCAGAGAGGTGACATTCCATGTCCCTATTGCCAGTCTTGGCAGCCGGGGGTCAGTCCGCCAGGGCCTCCGCTCCTGATAGGGTGTCGTCCCACTCTTCTCTATCTTATCAGGGCTCTAGACTAACTTTTTGCCATGGTTGCACTGGTGCGCCTAAAAATAAAATTTAGGCGCACCAGCACAAAATTTAGGCGTACAAGCACAAAAGTTAGGCGTACCCAAATTTTTAAACTGCATTACTTAACACCGCAGTTTTACATGTTCAGGTTTTTTTTGATTTGTAAATGATTAACTAACAACCTTTCAAAATGATTAACTTGACACCCCCTTTGCTGCCCAAATTAACAGCAGCTCCATCAGCCCCCATAGCAATGATTTTATCCAACCAGTTACTGCACTGGTCCCCAAGAGCAGCAAATGCTTTCTTTGAGGCAGCATAAATTCCTAAACAAATTTAAAAAAAAATACCATTTACTTATCAGATCAAGAGTTTACAATGCAGTCTTTTTCAGTTTGAGTATTCATGTATTATTGCTATGTTTAATTTTCAATGATAAGAACATGCTAGATATGGTTAATTCAGTAACACGACGTAATATTATTAATCATATACATAGGCTACGTGACATGACATGGCTTACCTTGGGCATGGGCATGCTGGACCTCAATGTGTCCAATCAGTATATTCGCTGGTCTTCCTTTTTGCAAGATACGAGCGTACACAATGACACATTCTTTTGTGGCGATGTCTGTGTCTCCATCGATCAGGAAGGCCATGTATGTACTGTTCGCAATTTCCACTGACTTCTTTTTTTTCAGTGTGTCAGCGATTACGCCTATAAACTGGGCGCACGCAACATCATTGCTGTATGTGGGGTTTATGTCCAAGCCATTTTTCCTGTGAAGAGTTATTTCTGACTTGAACTTAGTAAACGGAACTTCTTCTTTTGCAATATTGTAGGCGATGTTAAACTTAATGATCATCTCGGCCTCCTCCGATGACCTGTTTACTCCTGCCTGCCGCTGAAAGGCAGTGGGGAGCGGGGACATTTTGGCAGAGCATTTATCGCGGCATATAATGTGTCTTCTCGATGCTGTATGCTTTTTCAGCGTTTCAATTCGAAACGTATTAGCACCAGTGACAAATGCTGTGTTGCCGGCCATGGTCTTTCCACACTCGCGACAATAAATGCAGTGCATCATATTGTCAGCTTGGCTGTATCTTAGCCAGGGAAACTGGTCAAGCCACTCAATTCGAAATCTATACATTTTCTGACTTTTACTTTCAGTGGACTCCGGCTGGGAGTCGATCGTATGTGGCTCATTTTCTGATGCCGTCTCCGGACCAGTGTTTGACAAAAACGGAGAGGTTGATGGCTCCGTGTCAGAGCGCTGGCTCAGAATTTTGGACTGATCAGGCCTTAACTTAACGAAAAAGTTATCAATTGTTCTTTTCATATTTTCTCAATACCAACTT